AAATAAATCACAACCCAGTTCCAGCATCTACCATATGCTGTCCTTCTGCAGAAGCCCAGATAACAAATACACCCTGTTTAAAGGAAAGGCAAAACCAAACCTAAATTCAAGGGTCAATAACTGGCATGCCTATATTTAATGAATACTCCTATCATTTTCTTCTTCAAACACTCTGGCTGGATTATAACGTACATTAGTCTTCTTGGATATGCCGAAAAATTACACGGAAGTAACTACAATACAAAGTTCCATTTAGTTCTTTAATACCACCCAACAACTTAAAAAGTTAAAAAAAAAAAAAGTTTGTAACAAAAGAAAGAAAGAAAACACGAATGCAGAAATCAAGCAGCCTAGTTCCTGAAAAAAAGTAATCAAACAACCCACAAAAGAAAAGAAAAAACAAAAGGATATACCATAAAACACAAAAAGGAAAACCAGAACGATGAGATAAAAAAGAGTACCCATATAGCTGATGAGCGATTGCAAGTGCAGTGGTGGTCTTCCCGGTGCCTGGGGGACCATAAAAGAGCATGTGCGGGCACTAAGCAGAAGAAAAAGAAACAATTAGGGTTTCGTTTTTTTCCATATAAAAGGATGCTTGTCTACGTTATGAAATCGACATGATAAATTTTCCAAAATGATTACATTTTGCTGGTGAAACACTCACATTAGCGGTTTCAAGAGTGTTGGTCAAAACTCGGACCACCTCGTCCTGGTGAGCAACATCTTTGACTTGCTTGGGTCGACTGGTAATTGCAAAATAGAATGCGAAATAACAAATATGCTAAATTCTCTAAATTGCAATACGGAATCAAGAAAAAAATTGAATAAATAAATAAGAGAACACTGGAGAGTGAATGAGCGAGAGAGAGTTTTTTTTTTTACTATTTTTCGACCCATGGCTGTGAGCTCTGCAACACTGGCGCCATCTTTCTCTGTCTGAAAGAATGTTCGGAGTCGTGGAGATTATCAGGCTTCTTTTTTCCCGCTTCTCCAAGGGAGAAAGAGACCCAAGAAGGAGTCCAACAAACCCAATTTGATAGACCGGAGTTATGGTCTGCGACTCACAACAGGCCAAGCCGAGAGAAACGTGCTCATTCTTTTATTTAAAGTATTTAAATTTTAATTATAAAATAAATAAAATTATAAATATTTTATATTATTTTGTACACATATTATCAATTTTGAGAGTATATAAGATGTGAATTATATGTTATGTTGGTTAGTTTAATTGTTGATATTTATATTTAGTATAGTGAATTTATTAAATAAATTTTTATTAAAATAATTATTATTAGCGACTGTATTTAAAAGATTAATCATAATCAGTTTAATAATTAACAGTTAATTATTCTATAATAAATTATTTAATTGTAATTGATTAGTTAATTAATTTCATTTATTGTGTATATATAAATAAATAATATATCATTAACAAACAAAATTTAATTACTAACTACTCAACTGATTATGATTAATCTCTAATTATAAATTACTAACAATAGTTACTATGATAATTTTAATTCTATATTTATTTTTTTTACATTGAAGGGTCTTTCTTATAAATTTGATATAAATATTATATTTATTTACAATTGATTGTGGTAAAATATTTATTACATAGTTTTTACGATTTTATGTGTGAACTTCTCAATCATGTGCAAATAATATTTGTAAATTTAACTTTAGTCTGTTGAAAAATATACATATATTATATGTGGTATGTAGCGTCCGGGAAATTGAAGAAGGAAAGAAAAAAAAAAAGGCCACGTCAGCAGTCCCGGCCAACCGGGACCTGCCACGTGGCAAGACCACGTCGATCCGGGACGGGCCACGTTGGCGATCCGCGTATGCGTGATCGGACGACCCAGATTTAATCAAAAACGGACGGTCCAGATTAAATCAAAATGGACGGCTGAGATCAAAAGGCAAAAGGGTATAAATAGAACCCCCACACCAGACCACAAAACCCTAGCCGCCTGCCCTCGCCGGAGAAGACGAACCAGAAGCCGGCCGCCGCCACCCGCCGCCGCACCGGGGAGATTTCCGACCGCCGATCGAGGTAAATTTCATACCCCCGACTCGTATTTTCACGTTGATCTCCCCTGTGGCCAAATCGGAGCCAAAATCCCGGCCAAACGGCCGGAAAACACGACCGAAACCCAGCGGCGCCGCCGCGCCCCTCCTCGGTTTTGGCCTCCGATGAGGCCCTTCCCGGCCTCCGTTTAATGCAATTTTTATATCACCGTGATCACCATTCTTTTCTCTACATGTTGATCGGAGCCGAATCACCAAAACACGAACTTCACCGGAGAGCCGCCGCACCCGAGAGCACCGCCGCCGGTAAGCTTCGGTTTTTCATAATTTTTTGGCCCCCCGAGGGCCCTAGGGTTGTTTAATCGCAATGATCGATGCAAATGTGGCCGAATTCGGCCGGAAACGGCCGAAAATGGCCAAACTGATGCGAATCGCCGTCGCTTGCGGCGGCGCCGTCGCCGGAGCACGGCGGAGCCGCAGTGCCGGAATTGCGATATTGGCCAAAAAGGGGTCCTGTGCCTAATTTGGGATTTTTTGGAATACGTGCAGGTACCAATAGTGCGTTTCAGTTCCCCGGTAAAAATTCAGGGAAAATTAGGGATAGCCTGTAGGCGCACTGTGAAGCCGTGTTCGGACCCCGAAACGAGTAAGGACCCCTCACCCTATTTCCTATCACGGTATTAAAGTTCAATAAATGATAAAACGGTATTTCATGAATCAACAAATGTGTGAAATTGCTTAAGGTCGCTAATGGAGCCCGAGTCTAGTGTGTTTGTCGGTTAACTGTCATTTGGCCTGTTTTACAGTTTTAAATGCAGTATGAGGTTTGATGTTTTCATTTTACAGTTTCGTGTGCATATTTTACTGTTTTACTGATTATGGATTGAATGACTGGGATATTGATGCTGTATGTTGTTTGTTTGGCATAAATTACCGTTTTGCTTGTTTGTATGTGGATTGATGATGCTGACCGAGGGAAAATAGAGAATAAAGATTATGTAAATGGGTAATTGTATAATGTGGTCAGCCTGACTAGATATCCTGGGAGATGGTGGACGGACCGGGTCTGTAGGGAACTCTACCGGGATTGTGGTCTCCCATACCAGACGGGGTATAGGGACGACCCGTTTCACCCTCATACCGGACGGGATAATGAGGTTTATAATTTTGACGCCCATACCGGACGGGGTATGAGGACGGCCCTGGAATATGATTTCAAGTGTTAATGGTTAACGGGTAGCAGGACCCCTATGGATCCCCATGGATACTAGTGGGCTGGTAAATTAGGAAAATATGTTGTGTAACGATTAAATTACAAAAGGCTTGATAAGTATTATGTTATACAGTTCATATATGATTTCATGATGATGATAATGTTATTGCTTTCGTATACTGTTTTATGGATTCCATCGAGGTAAGTGGATGGTGAAGGATTTATTATTGATAAAAGAATTTGTTGTAAATTATACTCCATTGGTCTTTTTGTGTTTTCTACCCACCTTTACCTCCGTGACGGTGAGATATCGTGATGTCTTTACTGGGTTAGTGTAGCTCATTCCTTATTTAATCATTTCAGATTAGGAAGACATCGTTCCTTAGCCGGTTCCGCAGGAGGACGACGAATGGGACGCCTAAAGACTCCATAATCATATTCGTAGCTTTTACTTTCAAGTTTCTCCTTTAGGTAGTTTGATCTTTTATATTTTGTGAGCACGTTTTTGGTTTTAGTGTAAGGAATGTTAATCGAATTTTGACTTCGCTTCCGCATTTGATATTTTTAATATACATTTCATTTTAAATTTTCGGAGCCTTTACATGATAAATATATATATATATATAATTTGGCAAATTCAAATTAACTAGTTTAAACTTGTCTTTTATTTTTAATCAAAATCAAACCAGGTGCAAATTGTTGTTTTCATTTAGCATTTTGGGATGGGTGCACGGTTCGGGTTTGACAACCCTATTGATTTTAATACATGATATATCTTATAATATATTTTAATACATAGTATTTATATCTAAAATATGTTGTTATATTTAATATATTATAGTTAAATATACATAATAATGGTTATAACATACGTGCAAGTTGGATTTATAAAACTTATGAAAAATTTAAATTCGAATTTCACGAAACCCACAAAAAAATGAATAATTGAATCGTATGTATAAATCTAGTATAAGTTATTACCATGGTGAATCATACTAAAAATATTGTAACTAATTTATTATTTTATGTAATTTTTTTATTTATTTATATAAAAATAACACGACAGTCTTATGTTATATAATATGTTTTTAATCATAATATAATATTTTTAAAAAATAAAAGATTATTATGTATTAAAATAACGGTTGACATTAAAATTATTTAAAAAATAATAAATAAAAATATATATATGGTAAAATAACTGTAGATATCGAAATAATAGAATATATTAAAAATACATTTATATAATGATATTAATTTTATATAATATATATATTCACAAATTTGTATAGATATGTGTTAGTACAAATTAGTGGGAGTTAAATAAATTTAAATTAAGTACAAAATTGAAAAGTCATATTAGTTTACAAAAATATTAAAATGATTAATTAATTAAAATCAAATTGAAATTATTTCTTCCAAACTAAACTAATACTTTCCAAATCGGTGAAAGTCAAACAAATTTAAATTGTGAAAATTTCACAAATCATATCGGCTCAGAAAATTAATTAGTTAATTAATTAATTAATTAAAATCAGTATTAAATTCGTTTGAAATGGTGATCAAATACTTCCAAAACTACGTGTCATTTCTCTCACGGACCAACAATTAATGCTGCTTCTCTCCTTCATTTTAAGTTCAAACTTGGCTCTTTATATTTCAATATTTAATATATCTATTTATTTTAAAAAAAAACATTTGTATTAATGTTTCCATGTTATTTTTATTATTATTTTTTAAAAAATAAAAATTTATTCAATTAATAACCAGTAAATAAATATAGCAATAATCTAGAGATAAAAATATTTTAAATATAAAAATTAAAAAATAATGCGTAATCTTTACATATGATGAACCTACAATATTACAGTTTTTACGGACATAACCCACAAAAATATTCGAGCGGGTTAGCCAAGAGAGCATTACAATTCTCGATAATGTGCCCATATTCATATATGTCTGCCGCTGCAGATGACAACGCTTTTTACATCAAGAAAACATTCAACTCGACAAAACTCAGATTTGAAAAGTGCATTCAAGATAAAAGATGTTATTTATATGATAATCGGTGTATGTAAATAAATATATAAATTCATTTAAAAAAATTATAATTTTAAAATGACTAATCGGAAACTCTTTTTAAATCCTTAATTTAAATAAATAACTATGACACTATGTAAGTTGAATTTTGGTGTTCATATTTATTAGTTAATTGATGTGTAAGCTTTTTTTCTGATGACTTTGGTACAATTTATAATGTAATTAATTAATTATTTTAAGGTAAAATAATATATTGCACGTTTTTGGGTATAAAATTCAAATTATTCCTTTTACAGCCTTTAATTAATTAATTAATATTTTTCCGAAAAAACTTAATTAATTAATTAATTTATAACATTACAAAATACCTACTTTCTAATTTCTATGACTGACAGGATATTCCTTTTTTTTTTTTTTTTTTTTGGATATGTTGCTTACGACGTCGCTAAAGTAAAGACAGGCTCAGTGACCGTTTGAAATTCGAATTCAAAAAATGAACTCCAATTTTATTCTGACATGCCTGTGACTTTTTAACCAAACCCGCCACTCGTATCCCCTCCCCCCCCAAACCGCTTTTGTCACAGGCAGTACGCAATTATATACTCCTAACGTGGCTTTCATTAATTGGTTTTCTCGGTTCTGTTATGTACCCAACCAAGCGAGTTTGTATACGAATTGTGGGCCCCACATCCCGCTCCTAACGATTACCGAGTCGAATCAACGGTCACGATCAATCCAGAATTCAAATCACCCCGTTGCCCGCCTCAAAACTATCATTAAACAATTATTATATACCACAAAATCAGTTGTTCTTCTCCCTCCCTCCATCTCTCTCTCTCTCTCTCTCACACACACTCTATGTGGCTTATACAGAAAAGAAACCTCATTCAATTCAAGAATCAAAAATCAAAAATCAAAATCCAACAAATTTCCCGAAGATAATCCCTATTGTCTCCTTCTCTCTCTCTCTATATATCTCGACACGATTTTCTTTTTCTTGATTTCTTCTGACTTTCCTTTCTTTTTGAATCTTGAATCAAGAAAGGAAGTTAATTAGGGCAGAGAGAGGGGTTTTGAGAGGTGAGTTTGATCAAACGAAAATGTCGACTCAAAATCGGCGTTCGTCGTTTTCGTCCTCCACTACTTCGTCGTTGGCGAAGCGGCATGCTTCATCTTCGGAGAATAATGGCAAGGCAAATGCTGTCGCCCCGCCGCATTTGGCCAAGAAACGAGCGCCTCTCAGTAACATCACCAACCAAAAGAATGCGTCAAGAAACTATGTTCCACCCTCTACTTCGGTGAGTATTTTTAGATTTTCCGTTGTTCTTCCTCACCTCAGTTTCGTTGATGAGAAAATTTGGAGGCTTAGTTTCTTTGTTTGTCCCCTGAAATTTCTTTTCATTTTCTTTCAAGGGTTTATATAACTTATTTGGCTTGTGCATGTGGACCTTTTTCTGTTAGTTTCTCTTTTCCGTTCTTGCATTCACCATGACTAATTTCTTGGTAACTCGTATGTTTCCTGCCAAATGCATTTTGGTAAAGCATTCATAATTAGAAGATCTGGTATTCAATGGTAACAATAGTGTCGAGATGGATTTATGTGCATATGACTGAACTTCATGATCAGTGAATTCCAAGAAACCTAAAATATATATTTGTTGGTACGTCACTGAGGTGATGCATATCCTGGTTATGAATGACACCAATGTTCTTCATTACGCGTAATCTCGAGTTTGTTTCAGAGCATACACTTACATTCAAGTGTTTGATACTGGTTTTCATCTTTGAAGGTACCATGTTCAAACAAAATTGCTAAGGTGAAGAAGGCACCGTCTTCTTGCACTGCTCATAATAATACAGGGGTCTTTGGGGGTGTTTTACCTGCAGCATTAAACGTTAAACCAAGTACGGTTGTCCCTGGTAAATCAGATGGAAGTAAGGTCACATCTCTACCAACAAGCTACGAAGTTGCCCCTACTCTCCCCACCCTTTCAGCTCCATGTAGCATGGACTTTTCTCCAAGTGAATCAGATGGAGTTTCGGTTTCTATGGATGAGTCAATGTCTACTTGTGATTCTTTCAAGAGCCCGCAAGTAGAATACATAGACAACAATGACGTTCCAGCGGTTGATTCTATCGACAGAAAGACGTTCAGTAATCTTCATATTTCAGAGAATGCAGAAACAGCAGGTATGCGCTTTCAGTTATACATTCAGTTTTCCATGTCGTATGGTTGTGTTCTTCAATTTTGTCCTTTTTTTGCTGTTTATAATCAAGAAACCATTTGTGTGCTGTTTTGATTTATTGGTCATTGCCTGTCACTTCATTTTACAGCAATGTCCTCTTCTAATTTATTTTGTACTGCTTCAGGGAATATCTGCAGCAGAGATATACTTAATGAGATGGAAGTGGATGATAAAATCATTGATGTTGATAACAATTTCATGGATCCGCAACTTTGTGCAACCTTTGCTTGCGACATTTACAAGCACTTGCGTGCCTCAGAGGTCTTCATTATTTAAAACGTTCAAGTGAATACCTTCTATGTTCACAAAGTTTGTTGCTTATTACTTCAATTTTCTGTTCATGATTCCGTTCTACTACTCTTGATTTTAGGCAAAGAAAAGGCCTTCCACAGACTTCATGGAGAAAATTCAGAGTGATGTAAACTCCAGCATGCGTGCGATACTAATTGACTGGCTTGTGGAGGTAATTCCTTTTTCTGTTTTGTCTCCCATGTTTTGATCCTTTAAACTAGAAGTGGGCAGACATATAGTCATCATCTTTCTATAGCTTGAAAATTGGGTCTTTGTTCTCCCCCCGTTGTTGAAGACCGATAACATCTTTCAATTGCGCAGGTGGCTGAAGAGTATAGGCTTGTACCCGATACGTTATATTTGACTGTCAACTATATAGATCGGTATCTCTCAGGGAATGTTATGAGTAGACAACGGCTACAGTTGCTTGGTGTCGCCTGCATGATGATCGCCGCGTAAGAAAAGAACCATTTTTCCCATTTGTTTTCGTTTTTCCTTTCGCATGACATGTTGCTTTATTGGATTCTAACAACAAATACTTGAAATGCCAGAAAATATGAGGAAATCTGTGCACCCCAGGTCGAAGAGTTCTGTTACATAACTGATAACACATACTTCAAGGAGGAGGTTTGTACTTCAGTCTCCCCTCCCCTGAATGCTGGCTTTTCCACATCATTTCTTGCATTGTTGCTTCTGCGCAATGGTCAGCATTAATGTAGTGTTGTTTCCTGCAGGTTCTGGAGATGGAATCTTCTGTTTTGAACTACTTGAAGTTTGAAATGACGGCACCAACAGCTAAGTGTTTTCTAAGGTAATGGTTCGCTTATCATCTGATTGTTGACCGTACCACTTTTTATTTCTAATATATTCTGCTCTCTGAATAACTTATAACTCTTTTGAAATGACTTCCAGGCGATTTGTTCGAGCTGCTCAAGGGATCAATGAGGTATTTTTATGGAACTTGCTTGTTCTCAATATCTAGGCCCCCCCATTTTCTCTCGATATCCAAAAGTACAAAGTAAAATGATTCTCTTTAGATGATTTTACTCTTAGGTACTCTGATCCAAATAAAGTATTTCACATGGATTTTAAAATCGTCATTTGATGGGGAATTAAATAAAAAAGCTACTGTAATGATCAAGTCCACCAATTTATAGTCCTCTATCGATATCCCTCTATAAGCTATCATGGTAGTTGGGTAAAGCGTTCTTTGTTCGTATCTTACCTGCACCATTTTCTAGGTTCTGTCGATGCAATTGGAATGCCTGGCCAACTACCTTGCTGAATTATCCATCCTTGAATACAATATGCTTCGTTATGCTCCATCACTCGTTGCTGCTTCTGCAATCTTTTTGGCGAAGTACATACTAAACCCGTCAAAGAGACCATGGGTAAGTGAAAAACTAAATAGGAGGCAACTTTTCCACGTTTAATGATCCCATTATATTTCCACTTATTGTTTATATAAAAATTTACAAGCGTCGCTGAACATGGTTTGATCTGCACTTGTTCCATACAGAATTCTACCTTACAGCATTACACACTCTACAAGCCTTCTGATCTCTGCGAATGTGTTAAGGATCTTCATCGACTAAGTTGTAGCAGCCATACTTCAACGTTACCAGCAATCAGGGAAAAATACAGTCAACATAAAGTAAGCATAAAATCTTGCATTCTATATCTGTCTTCCTCAAACCGCGCACACACCTGATATATGAACACAGCAACTACTAGAGAATCTCAATTCAGTTTGTGTTGGGATAAATACAAAGGACAAGCTCAATTAGGATTTTTGACAATGATGCTTAAATCAACATCATTGTCAAAAATCCTTGCAACTACTAAAGAACCTCAATTCAGTTTGTGTTGGGATAAAATACCAAGGACAAGCTCATGAATTCTTGCATATCTCTCTCAAATGCACACATCAGATGTAGTTGAAAAATACAAGACTTTATGATGTTTGCTTGACTGAAATGCAAATTGAAAATGGTGATTTTGGTTGCAGTACAAATTTGTGGCAAAGAAGTACTGCCCTCCCGCAATACCACAAGAGTTCTTCAACAACCAAAGCACCTAGATATTGAGGTAACTGTTCCAATACTTTGTTGGAATAAAGTTTGAAGCGGAACTCTCCTGCAATATATAGCGGTCTGCCTCTAATTGGGGTTCTCATGGCACACAGTTCAGAGCAACTTCATTGTATCATTCTCTGTCTGATTCTCCTTTTTTTCACTATTGATGAGGTGTCATGGATTCATGAATATCAACTGGTATGGCAGCGGAAATGAGAAAAAAAAATGTAATAATTCATGAGCTTTTTGGGTTAGTTTTTTTCCTGGTTAAATATGTATGTATCACAAATCAATTAGAATGCTATTATTTTTCATCCTTGTTTGAATTTTTCATTGAAAAATTGGGTTAATTTCAACTTTAAAACATAGAAACAAAAATAATATAAATATGACCAATGTTTCAATGAAAATAATTTTCTAAATATTTTCTACAAGTAACTAGAGCTGATAGTTAAAAGAGAACAAATAGCTATTTTAAAGAGAACAAATAGTTAAATTGTGTCACACCCACAAATTTTTTATTTTAATTAAATAATTAATAAATATATTTTTTTATTCATTTAATTTAATTTATTATATTATATTTTATTTTATTTAGAATAAAAAATAAAATAAAATTAATGAATGATTAAATTAAAAATAATTGTAAGGAAAAGAAGGGTCAGCAGTCCTGATCAATCAGGATGCTGACGTAGGGGGCCACGCGGGCGATCTGTATGCCCGCAATCGAACAGTTGAGGTCCGTTCTTGCACGCACAGACGGCCTGGATGCGCTCCCTACCAAACGCGATGGACGGCTTAGATTTACTCCCTATTTAATCGCGATCGGACGGTTCAGATCAAACGCGATGGACGAGAAAGATTAAAAGCGGACGGATATAAATAACTCCCATCTGCACCAGACCCTAACCCTAGCCGCTAGACACCCTCGAATATTTCTATTTTGCACGAAATTCAATTTTAAGCTCATGTATGGCTAAATTGGAGTAAAAAGACTGACCAATTTGGCCGGAAAACACCAGTGAAACCCAGCGGTACTGCCGCGAAGAATTTCACAAAACGCCTATGATGAGACCCTTCCCGATTTTCGTTCCGCATAATTTTTCTACCGTTATAATTATTGTTTTCTTGTCTACAGGTTGACCGAAGCAAAACACCAAACCGCAACGTGAGTCGGAGGAGCCACCGTACCAAAGAGCCCCGCCGCTGGTGAATTTCGATTTTTCGTATTTTTTCGGCCAACCGAGACCCTTTAACATGTTTTCTCGCAGGGATCGATGTAAAATTAATTGAATTCGGTCGAAAACGACCGACCTAAGGTGGAGCCGCCGTACCGGAATTTCCAAATTGACCGAGTGGGCTCTGAAACTGATTTTGGGTTTATTTGGAATATTTGTAGGTATTATTAGCGCGTTTTGATTTTCGAAGAAAAATTCAGGAAACTTAAGGATCCCCTATAAGCGCAGTAAACAACTTAGCTTTTCGGGCGTCAAAATCAAGTAAGAATCCCTCACCCTATTCTCTATTATAAAAATGAAGTTTAATCACCATATTCTCTATTATAGAAATGAAGTTTAAATAAATAATAATATGGTAGTTTGTGCGATTTTAGAAAACATGCATAATTAATTACGGGTTGTTTATGGAGGCGGAACTGAAAATTATTTGTTGCTGTTGTTGATTGTTTTTACAGTTTACCTGCATGATGATATCTTATTTATTCATTTTATGGCTTTGAACGCATGTATGATTTTTTTACATGTTTATTGCTGAATTGGAAAAAATGAAGTTTAAACGATAATGAAATTGTGTGGTTAAATGATTAGATGAAATGACAGCCTTATTGGATATTTTGAGAGATTGTGGATGGATCGGGTACATAGAGAACTCTACCGTGAACATTGTCTCATATCGGATGGGGTATGAAGACTTGATAATTTGACGTTCATATCGGACGGGGTATGAGGACAACCCGCTTCACCCTTATACTGGACGGGGTATTGAGGTTTGGTAAATTAGTGCTCATACCGGAGGGGTATGAGGACAACCCATAATTGAGAATGATAAATGAAAGGGTCACGGATAGCGGAAGCATCCCTATAAACCCCCATGAATATCAATAGGTTAATGAAAAGAATGATAATTATTGTTTAGTTTATTGATAACGGATATGGATTTATAATATGTATTATGTTGACTGATTATGTATGAAATGTTGGTTTGTATGATATTATTACTTTTACAGGTTGTTTTCATGAAATTCCACTATAGTAAGTGAACGAGAAATGATTTTATGATTGATAAATGAATTTACTAAATTTAATGCTCCATTAGTGATTTTCGATTTTATACCAACCTTTACTTCTATATCGGTGATATAATGTGATATCCTTATTAAATTAGTGTACCTCATCCTTTATTTAACTATTTCAAATCAAGAGTATCAGATTCCATAACTCGATTCGTAAGAAAATTACGAATAGATATTAGATATTTTCTATTTTTCGTTTGTTTTCTTATTTTTTGTGTTTCTTTCAAAAAATAAATTCTGTAATGCTATTTAATACTTTTAAATTATTACGCAATGAATGTAAAACTTAATCTTTTATTTTGTTTATGCACTTAACTTATTATCTATTTTCTTTTGAATTTTCAGAATCGTTACATAAATCTTTCTTTAAATTGGCATATCATTTTTTAGAAGTATAATTCACATATCATACTTGCATAAGCTAGTAGAATATAATCTGACCCTACCAAACATATGTCATCAACGAGGGGACTGAGATGAATAGATTCATGAATCCATCAAGGGGTCAGTCATAATGTGCATAATTTATAAAAAACTGGAGCTAATCACAAATTACTTCACTAGAAAAATAATGTGAACCAGGGACACAATAACAAATATGATATACTACAGATAAATAAATAATATATATATATATATATATATGCCAATAAAGCTCGTAATGCAGAAGGTAGGCAACTACAGTCGAAGTAACATTAGCTTCTAGCCATCAGCAATTCAGCATGTAAAAAATCCCATATCCGCCAATTTGCCCAACAACGGGACAAAATATTGTATGAAATTATTGGCAAACATCACATACAACTTACTGCAACTACAAAGAGATCAAACAGAATATGAGAACTCTGAATACCAGGAACTGCAGCAGCACCATCCACAATCTCAAAAGTCCAATAGTATTTCCCAGGAATGCCAGCAAAAGTTTTAACGAGAGGCTAGCTTTTCTTGTTATATTATCTAAACTAGAAGGATGAACAAGTCCAGATCAATCGAAAGGCGCTCAGCATAAATTTCTTCCCCTCAGAACAAGATCAGCAAGTATCTCTATATAACCTGCTTGCCTTTACAGAGCACAAGTTTCAATCAAGTGCTATAGTTACTGTGCAAACTGCCAAAAGGGGAAAAAAATGAAGATCTGGGGCTACAGACATCCAGAGAGCTTTCTACAAGGTTAGAGATACCACAATGGACACAAGAGACATACCAGTGTTAGCTCTTGTCACTACTGAACTCTGCTGTGAGGTCTTCCAATTCATCATGGATTGCTTTGTAGCAGAAGAAGTATTGCTCCTAGTGAACAATGTTGAACTTCGTAAGCAAAACATTGAAGTCAAGAGTAAAGATTCAGAGGAGAAGCTTGTTGTTTAGCAAGCTGTGAACACAAGATTTCGGAGGCATAATTCTTATATACCCTCAACATTTAACAGAAAACCTATAAGTTGAAGGCTTGAAGCCGTTGGCAAATACTTTAACAGCAATCAAGTTAAGAATGGAAATCAACCAAAATGATTTTTACCGCAGCAACAAATTAAATGAGAAGTTTGGTTGGCGATTAATTTATGTACTTATTTGTTTCATTTTACAGGACGGTACCACCTCATGGAGGGACCAGAATCATCCAGTGTTTGTAGGGACAGTAGAGAAGCTGGAAAACCTGCAGGACATGAGCTTACCCTATTCTTGAAAAAGAAGTATTGTCTTGGGACACATTTCAAAATTAATTCTTAATTATTTGTGAGAAAACATATTATCAAGAAAAATGTATCCTGAAAATTAAAGATATTCCTACTTAGCCTTAGTAAGAGCCCCCAACTACCCAGCAAAAATGAGAACTGTTAGCCATAATCCATGCACTATGTACCATAGTACATAATCCATGTGCTAATATGCTTTCCAGATAAATGAGAAAAAAAATAAAAGGATGTTCATAATCCATGCGCTATATACCATAGCACCTAGAATAAAATACTAGTTGAAGCCAAGGAATGTATATTGCCCCAAGAGGTGTTCAATCCAAAGAAGTAAACATTACTAGTTAATACAGGTAAAAACTAGTAATAATTGGTCATATTTGCCAATATCAGCTATTCAGACAAGATAATAATCTCAAATGGTATTGGTTTTAATATTTTAATGTAAAATTTTAAAATTTACCATTATTTTAAACTTTGTAATCATAAGTTAGCCAATAGAACTAGTTCTCCAAAAAAATCAAACACTAAAGTCATGTTTAGTTGTAGAAAATTGTCTTCAGTTTTCATTTTCTAAACTTACATATGTTCAATATATAAAACATAAGAAAATGTTGAGATGAAAACAATGTTTTGAAAATAATAATAAAAATGACATGAGTTTGAAAATAACAGTTTATTCTTTTAAAACACATACAATATTTTCACTATCATTGCAAATTTAGTTTTCATTTTCAACAATTTATGCATAAAAATGTATGAATTTGATTTCTACAACAAAACTGGGTATAAAATTTTAAAACTTTTAAAATACTCTACCGATAACTAGATGAGTTTCTTTAGTGTTCCTACTTACTTTAGTATGGTGTTCTTGTCCTGTACTTCTAATTTATATTTCTTATGTTTGTAAATTAACATTTTAGACATTATTCATATTGTTTGATACTAAAATGCTTACAAAGTTAAATAGTTCATCTTTTTAGAAACTTACCATTGTGCCTTTTGTCTGTGTAACGTAAAGGTATACATATAATTTATTTGATAGAAACTTATAATATAATTTAGTATAGGTGAACTATAAAATAGAGATAAATTGAGTGGTACATCAACAGTCCCAGATTCCAATACATAAGGTTCCAAAATAAGAACCAAAATATTTTTCAATAAGATATTTACTTCTTTAGCAAGTACTCCCCATATCTCTGTGTGTGTGTGTCAACTATTAACATTAATTACTCTCCATCACTAACAACCATGTTTTGCATTCAGCTTATAACACGGTAAAGTTACATGCACACAAGTCAGCATGTTGAAAATAGTGGTCCAAAATTTCAAGTAAAAAATTGAAAAATGTAAGTTTTTCTGACAAAGGATAAAGATGATACCATTGTCTGAACCATTCCAATTCGCTGAGACCGAAATTTGGCCACAGTATCTGCAAGATCTAATGCGGATAAATCACCAAGAAGGATTCTCTGAATGGTGTTATGAATTGCACAATATGTTCCAGTTCTCCCTATCCCTGCACTGAATCAGAAATAGACCTTTCAGTCATACGGATCTGAATGTCACTCAGGTAGAGTGAAATATATAATATATTTGAAAAGAGGGGGAAGTAATAATCATTTGAAGAACCTGCAATGCACCACTATAGGACCAAGACTGGGTGGCACATGATACATTATTTTTAAAATTTCACGAACAGCAAGTGTATCCCTGGGAACACCATGATCCGGCCATTCAGGATATTGAATATGCAAAACAGATATGGGCAGTTCCTCAGACTGAAACAAAAAATTCAAGAAGGGAAAACAGAAATCTAATTGAGTACATAAATATAATTCAATCCTTCACCATATAAGTTGCTTTTGAAATGTCAAATGCAGGTTAAATAAGGATATCCAAGTCAAAAGATACCAATCCCAACAACAGTTTAGTTTCATATTATGATATTCTTTTGTCTAAAAGCAAAAGTTACCTCTTTATAGTTTATCTCCAAGTTACGCAACACCAGTGATGTGTTAGTAGTTCTTAACCATTTTGAAAGAATGCATATATTACCAAATTCTCGAAGGCCATCTTCTGCTTGGAAATAATCCCCACATTTTACCTTCTGCAAGAACCATTCAGAATAAGAAGATTTTCAGAAAATCCAAATGAAATCAGAGGAATCGGATCATGAAGCTGCCAAAAGAAAATCACATAAATATGACACAGAAATTAAAACAATACTAGTGATATTGGCACCAAGCCCACAAGCTTTCTCGTAAAGAATTGAAAACTGATGGCAGATAACTTTTCCAGAGACATTTCTTTATCTATAATACAGAGGAATTGGGAGGCAATTTTGCACTGACTTCATGTCTCCTTTTATTTTTCTTCTACTCCAATTTTATAGATATCATTTTGATATCCTCAATATTTTATCTCTTCTTTTTCTGATTATCAAAAGTACTTCTTTTCTTATCAAAAAGATTGTTACTACATCATGTTATGGTATTGACAGACCCTCACCAAGAAAATATTCAGATGAGAACAACACCTATGTAGTTACAAAAATTCCAAATCATAATCTCAATTTGATTTAAAGGACTTATTGTTACTGAAACCGAACTCACTATTAGAATGCCAACCATACAATTTTCTAGCTTCGTCTGGATCCTTAAAAAGTAAAAGCAATAGCTATAAAGAATAAAAAAAAAAGTTGTTTGATGGACTATTCATGCCTGATATCAAAATATAGAAATCCTTTATCTGACTACAATCCAAAAAATGTATCTTCCTTGACATGCTGAGGTACCTTGTAATTGTCAACCAACCGAGTAAGCATCACTATGACGGGGCAATGATTTTGGATTACCATCTCCCAGAAATCTTCATATGTGTGTGGCAATGGACCTTGTGTGGCTATAAATTGAGAAATGCTTTCAGATGAAGAAGTCTACATATAAAGAGTCGCTCTCCATCAGAAAAGATAAGAGAAAATGTACATATGGTAAAATTTATCTATTGACAGAGACAGGCAAGTGGATTTCTTCGGTTCATACCTTGATGAAGCTTGCATTGATATATCCTCTTGCTGACGGTCTATAATCCTTACATGGATTAAGAACAATCCTATTCCTGTCAACTGCAATAGATGATAATTCCACAATTTACCAAGCAGATCATCTTTAAATCATAAGCTACTCAATTTGCTTCTAAAATGAGGAAGAGTATATGGAAAATGTACATGGTAAAACATCCATGTATCTGTTTTTGCTCTGATTGACACCATCAAGAGCCACAGTGCAGCTTCTTGCCATCTCGGATGGTCTGATTCTTTCATTCTATAACCAAGAATAACGTAAATTAGTATATAGTACAAATTTTAATGAGAACACGCCTAAACAAGCTTCCATTTACTAACAGAATACTTTCTTCAAACAAGTTTCCTTTTGAAAGGAAGAATTTATGCTCCGCAATCTACAGATACATCCAGCAGTTACTAGTCCAACACGAGAACCGATAAAACAAAAATTTCTAAACTAGAAACGCATATTCAAGAACATTTTCCAGTTCAAGGACTCAGAAAATTAAATTAACTGAATTAAGAAAAGGAACAAGCACATGAAAACATGAATTGAACCTGTAAGTTAATGAACTCTTGTACGATTCCTTCGGAATTCTGTAGCTTCTCCTTGAGGAGTGTGAGAGCTTGGCAACAGTAGCTGTACTGATCCGGAGTAAGCGCGAGTTTCGGCGGAGTGGAATTGGCCAAGAAGTTGAACCGGTTGGGATAGGAGAACGACGAAGCACCGGAAGGAGGTTTTCCTGCGGAGGAGGCGGCCATGGCCGATCTCCGATGGGACCGTGCCCGAATCGAAGTGAGGTTCCCCGTCTTATTCTCGGTGGGAACTGATGCGTGTAGAATTGGAGCTCTGGAAATTGCAGAGAAATCTCGCACTTTCGACTTTTTGCCCCAATCTTCTTATCTACCGAATCAATTTGCTCCAATTTGATGCTTGTTTATTTCATTTTTATTATTAATATAATTATAATTAAAAAATTAAACAAAATAAATTAATTAGTATTATTTAATTTATTGAAATTACTATATAGTTATTATAATTTTTGGACTATATAGAAAATGAACAATGAGTAAAATAAAAAAAAATTATACCATTTTTTATCAGATTTTTTAGCAGTTGTATAAAAAATTATTAATTAAGATAATTTAAAAATTATATAATAAAGATAAATCAAATATCATTATAACATTTATTAATATATATTTACCAATTTAGTTTATTCAAAAACCATCAATACAACCCAAAATTATTTCGAACATTGAGATTTGCTTGACGAAACTTGTATTGACGGCATCAGATTGAGCCAATGACAGTCCTCAAACGAGCAACGGGGCCCACTTCCCCCCCACTTCACATAATCCCTCGGCTCAATATATCTTGGGGCCCACACAGGGGTCCCATCCTCATACGAATTATGTGTTAACCTCTTTAAATCAGAGCCGTCCAATTTCACCGTGAATATCCCCCGTACGGCTGATAATGATGCATGTTGGAGATCGGCTCTGCTGATATCCCCGCGTAATCTGAAGTGAAAACTATCGTCTTTCCATCTCGGCTAAAACTCGGGTGGTTCGTCCGCCCGCCAGAACCGCTTTGGACCAACTTTCTTAACCCGGTTCCGTTTGGATGGATCAAGAACAACTCGAAGCTACCAGAACCCGGTTTCTCTCGGTCCGACGAGAACGCGATCCACTCACCGTCTGGTGACCACGCACACATAGTGTCTGTCCATGGACCCTCCGTCAACCTTTGGAGCCCACCCTTTTCGCCATCCTCAGCGTCCATTATGTACAGGTTCTTGTTACCTGATCGACCCGATCGGAACACGATCCGTATACCATCGGGTGATGGTGAAGGGAATGCATTGTTTTTACCGTTTGTAGTCAACTTCTTCACGGCCTTGGATGGGTCAAGAGCATCAACGTTTATGGAGATGATATCAACCTCTGTTCTCGCCGATGCGAAAGTGGGTCCCGTACTCGTGTAAACAATCCCTTTACGAACCGGGTCCCAAGCTGTCCAGAAAGCGGTTTCCGGGTAGACCTCGCGCCGACCCGAACCGTCTGAGTTCACCACGTAAACGCCCGGGAAATCAACGTATGCAATTCGGTCACCCACGGGTGAGAAAGAAGGAAAAGAGCCGTCAATTCTGAAGAGAGAAAGGTTGGGCACTGGGCTTTGGAGATTTTCGAGTAACAGTTCGGGGCTTTTTCGTTCATTCCTTTTGCCGCTACACTTGTGGTATCCAACTCGGGCTGAGTCAGGCGAGATAAACGGGTTCAGGTGGTGAGTTGTTGGTGCGACAGGACGGGTCAACTCCTTGAACTTCTTCGAGTTAAGGTCGAAGAGCTCTATATGGCGGTATTCTGAGTTGGGTCTCCTCGTGGCAACTGCTATGAAGTCTTTGTTACCTGGTGATGTGGCTGGCGTGAATGCGTGCAAACCCGGTGGTGTGACTCGTTCAATCACCACTGACTCGGAAGAAAACGGTCCATTTTGGGGAAGAGACGCTTTGTAGACACTAATCCATCCATCTTTGCTTCTCCTATGAAAGAACAGAGTCAAGTCGTCCACCCAACACGGCCATCCACCGTGCTCGACTACCTTGACTCGCTGAGTCCCATCCCGAGTCAAGAAGACGTAGATATCCGTACTCAGTTCCTCAACTTCACCGTCCCAACCTCTCTCACCATATGAGGCAACGGCTGTCCGAAGGCCAGAGGGAGAAACCGCAGGGCTAAAATCAGCAATTCCATAAGGGGTCAGCCTCCGAGTCATTCCTGTTCTCAACTCGGTGGAGTAAACCGCGGTCCAACTCGACCTCGGCTCACCGGGGTCCTCATGAGTGGAAACATAAACCAAATAATCCCCAGCCAAACTGGGTTTATCTTTCATCGAAACAAGGGTTTTCCCATGACCTGCACCAGACAACAGAGGAAGCTGAATTCTATTAGGAGCTTGCAAAGCCAGAGCAGAGCGTTTTCTGGTGCTTGAGGGAGAATCGTAAAAGATAGCATCGTAGTAAATGGTGGAGGACCCATTTCTCTCTGTAACATAGATGAGTTGTAGAGTTGGTTGGGGTTGATCGGGCAAAAGAGAGAGGAGAGCGAGAGATGAAGAAGGGAAGTGACCGTTGAAATTCACGGATTCCCCGTCGGTGATTTGGAACTCCATGGATGGCGATGGTGGGGCTTGAATGGGGATGGTGAAGATATCAAAGGCATAATCCATTCTTCCAAGAGTCGTGAATATGATAGTCCTGGGCGGCTCATGATCTGCCGCTGCACGGGAGAAGATGGAGAGCAAAAACAGCAGAAAACGGAGACTTGCAGTGAGGCCCATGGCTTTCCCTCGTTGCGGTGGTTTGTGGGGGAAGTACCATACGATGTGGGGGGAGTTGAAAAGCAGGGATGAGAGTGTGGTAAGGGATGACGTAAGAGGAGGATTTAAAGGGTCCCACTCTTATCAAGATGGACACGTGTCAAGCTTATAGGCAATGATGGGAATAATTTGGTTGATGAGTCATGATGGGTGTCAATTTTCATCCAGAGCTTAATATCTCAATTTTTATCTGTTTGTATATATATATATATATATATTAAAAAGTTATAATATTATTAATTATATATATTTAAAAAAATATTAATTATGTTATTATTAGGATTTTTGTCTAAAATTATTTTATCATATTATTATTAGTGCGGGGAGGGGACCTAATTATTAAAACTTATTATTTTTATTAAAAAAACTTGGTAAATACCTAACCATTTACTGGCGTTGACTGTAACCAACGTTCCGTTGAAACACGGAAGCTTTGTCTTCTTGATCAAGGCACACCTGATGATCCATCACCTCCCGCCTTAAAAGCCCTCGTAAGAGTTCACATTTCTCTCTGCCATTTTCCTCTTCTTGATAAGTTCATTTTCTTCTCTCTGCATCAAATCCTTGCTTCTGCGAATGAGTTTCCTCAGACCTTCTTCACTTTATCACTTTCTGCTCGCATACCCTTCACTTAAATGGATGCCATGCCAGATCTGGGGGTTCCTTCGATGGCCAGGTATTGATGGGTTCTTGAGACTTTTGGTGCTTGTGCTCTTATGGTCCACCTTCTCCCAGCTTGTCTTTATACCATCTTATTCCATGTACCCTACGCTTCGTGTTGGTGATCGAGTCCTTGTCGAAAAGGTAATTGTAATAAACCCAATATCGGATCTAAATCTGTTTAATCAATCATTGAATCATGAATGCAATCAGTTCTGCTTGATGGTGGCGTTGGAAATCATAACTTAGTTAATGTGTTTTTTGATTTGGGTATCTTTGAGTTTTCATTTATGTTATGGTTGATTGCTCCATTAATGAAACCCACATTTTTAAATTGCACTATTGGGAAAGCTTTACTTTTTAGAGTACTAACTTTACCAATTTAATCTTCCCCTCTAACATGCAAACTCCATAAGTTTCTCAGCTGCTACCTAACTAGACCAGATTTGTTTTACAGAGATTTTTACAACTTTCCTTATGATCTTTGAGAGATTTGACTGAAATGTAGGCAGCTATTTTTGTGTTTTTGGAAAAATGGAACTAAATTGCTGCTCTCTTCTTTGGCCACGGAATTGTGGGAAGCCACAAACTCAGTCGTTCTTGTTCCTCCCAAGTCCCATCTCATTTTCAAATATTCCTACGTAGCACATTAACCTCATTGCATGGAATTGTACATGCTTAAAAGAATATTTGGATTACTGCTCATGAAAAACCCTGAGTGAGGATTAGTTGATAGTTAAAGTCTCCCTTCTTTCTCTCTGATCTCATCTTCCAAAATGTGTCACTCCATAAATGATCATACTGATTTTAGAACAGATTTTTTCTTTAAAAAAAAATTTTTGTTTCATATTTGAAACACAAAATATTCTAAGGAGATACTTAGTGCGCAATACGTGCATATTTTTGGTTTTTTATTTCTTATTTTGTCACAACCTGAATTTCCAAACCCGGATATTGCGAGTTTAAATAGAAGTAACATTATATGCTTCACAATTTTCAGGTTTTTTCGTTTTTAAGCATATATCTGTTAATTTGATTCATTTTTCGAATAAGAAAATCTGTATGTGATACTTGGCACCATGAATATGATTCTGGTAATGATTGAACTAAAGGAGTTGCACCTGGTCAGTCAGTCCATATGGTTTTTATCTAAAATAAATTATACCTAGGAGAGCTAAGAAGATATGGTTTTGGTCTTCAGTTTCCTGAGTAGCTGTAAATCTGGTACATGTTCTCCAACACCACCTTTCAGATCTTCACGTTTCTTCTAAAATGTGTGCTACCAATCACGGGTGAAGCCAGTAAATGATGTTTTGGAGCCCATATATTTAGATTGTTCTTAAGTCTTTAAGCAGTCTCTGAAACTAAGAGGATTATTTCATTGAGCTAATTCTGAACAAGACTGTAGTTATTTGTTAGATCCATTGTGTACTATGAGGCTGATTCTTCTTTGCATTATATCCAGATGTCTCTACCTTGACATTATATTCAAGTTAGCTATGCATGAAGTTGGAAATACTGGACAATGGTTCAGAGTTTTATGGATAGCCTTTTTTCCTGTGAAAGAAATTAGCGATTATGTTTACTTCCATATTTCAGAAATTCAGAAATTAAAGTCAACTAGCTGGAATACTACCTCTATTTCCAAATCATTAAAGAACCATGCCATTTTTCTTGCTTTGACGTGGTGCAAGAGAGAAAAAAAACAACATGACAGACCTAAGCATGCTACAAAGTGGAAGATATGCTATTTGAAAAAATGACTAAAGATATAACTAACTTTTCAACTTACAGATTCATATCTGCAGATAAGAAATACAGGACAACAACAGCGATTTTGATTGTGTTTCTTTTGGTATCAATTAGTTACTTGCAGTATGTTCTTTTTGGAATTCCATTATGATGGATTTGATGCTGCATTTTCATTATGGTAATTCTGTTGTTTTCATGATTCATATGAATCCCAAGTAATATTTGTTTCCATCAAGTTTTGATTGCAGCTTTGTTTTCTTCAATTTTAGGCCTCGTATTACATCAGAAGTCCTGCAATAGGTGATATTGTAACATTTCGAGCTCCTTTACGGCTTCTTAATATGGTTGGAGTTTTTCTTATATGTCAAGAGTTATGATAATAAATTCTATTATGAGACTCCATTATCGTTTTGTTTTGCCTACAGCAACCTGGATTTCGGAACCAAGATGTTTTGATTAAGAGAATTGTTGCCAGAGCTGGAGATTCTATTGAGGTACTGTCCACTGGCAGAAGAATTTAAAATTTACATGGAAATGAATCAACCTGATTCTAGCTTGAAATATTATGTCTACGGTCAATTGATACTGCTATTTGAGATATTTCATATCTGGTTAATTTCAAAGGATAATAATGGGATTTTGTTTTTTGGGTAGTGTAAAGAAATTGTTTGCCTATTTAGTAAATTTTTCACGCATTAATCAACCTATGTAATTACATATTTAGTAGTTGATATATAGTAATGTATTATAGTCCATCATGCTAGTATAAAACAAACAGAACTCAAGTAAGCGTCAGTTGAAATGAACCTCTCTTATATATTGCAGGTTCGTGGTGGATTGCTCTATCTCAATGGAGTTGCTCAACGGGAAGATTTTGTAGCAGAGAAACCAGCATATACATTAGACTTAACCGTGAGCTTCCTATCACTTATCTCTCTATGTTTCCCTCTCCCTACCACTTATTTTGTTGCATTTCCTGCATTTTTCGCGCGCCAAGCAGAATGTATTCTCAGAAAAAATCAGAGATAAGGTTTTGGGGTAAATAAAGTATAAAAATAAACCTGGGGGGATAAGGTTTTTTTTTTTTTTTTTTTTTTTTTTTTTTTTTTTTTCGTTAAGGTTGCTTATCTAAATCTGAAGTTGAGAGTTTACGGTAAATTAATAATTTGTTGTTCTTTCTGAATTTTGATTTGCAGTATGTTCCTAAAGGCCATGTCTTCGTATTAGGGGACAACCGAAACAATAGCTACGACTCCCATGATTGGTACTTTTCTCAAATTTTTAGAGAGATAGTTACTATAAATGATTCAGTTTAGAGGTTGAAAATGTATTTTTTTCTTTAATGCTTTTAAGGCAATTTTTCTTTGCTTCCCATTTTCGACTTACTATTTTTGAATGTTGATTGATGAGCAGGGGACCTCTTCCTGTTAAAAATGTTGTTGGAAGATATGTTATGTGTTGCTACAGACCTTCAAACAGGCGAAAGTAAATAGGAGAAATTGTTTGTAAATCACATGGCTATAAGTAGGAATTGATTGATTGATCTCTTAAAGGAACATAACATGTAATTGTTTATTGGTTATTTTGTATCTTAAGTTGACATGAGAAATTATTTGATTCAAATTATGTATTAACTTTTTTCCATTAATATTCAAGTGATTGACTGGTGCGCGACATTCCCAAGAGACAGCATTGTTGAAACGGCACTGCATTTCTCATACGACAAATAGCCTCGCCTTTGTTTATAGACCAATGCTATCCCAGAATGGCTTACATAGTTGGCATGCTAGGAAATGTGTAGAATGTGGTAAATGGACCAATGTAGATGTGCCTGTTAATACGGCATATCAGCATCAAAAACAATCCTTCAACAAGATAAGTCCTTACTATGCTCGAACTAAACTAGCAAAACTACCCTGCTCGACTTTCCCTTTATTCGAAAGGATTTTAAGCATAAATTTACTTAATTCTGTGTTTTTTTGTCATGAGTAGGAGGTTAAAACTCTCTGTAGAAAGAAGAAATTTTTTATGTTTACTCTCCTCTGTCAGAATTACCTGAAATACAGGTCATTCCCACGTAACGTGTCGTCATAAGAGTGCCGAGTTGGTAAAAGATTACTAATATAAGAACTTGTTTTGTTAAATCTTATTTTCTCTAATTATTACGCATGAGCTTTAAGTAATTACCATTGAGGAACTCCTTAATTGCAGTTTAAAGATAAAGAATGTGACATTATAAACTAAATTTTAATTATCTAATTGTATACGATAAAAATAATTTTAATAAAATATTTAATAAATTTTATAATTTTATTAACTATCATATTGTGTTAAAAAATAATAAATTATTTAGTATTAATTTTTATTAATTAATATTTAAACAAAATTTGTGAATATTACTTAAATGATATTTTTATCTAAAAACTTAGATATGTATCATCTTCTCGATCTTAATTATATATATATATATATTTAAATAATAATTAATGATATGTTATTAAATAAATTTTATATATTAATAATTATAAATTTTAATAAATATATTTTATATGAATAAATAAAATTTATTGAATATAAGAATATTGGTTTTTATTGTACAGCTAAGATATATGTATATATTATTTTATTTTATGTATATAAGATAACAACACTAATTAAAATAATATATTATCTGATGTATTTTATTATAAAAATAAAATAATATTGATTGAGAATAAATTAAAATAAAATAATTATTAAAAATAAGTATTATAAAAATTCAAAATTAGAATATTATTAAATGAAAAAATATTATTTGTTGATTATTTTATTTTATGCATATAAAATTATAACATTAATTTATAATAATATAAATATATTTTAATCTACATAAAATAAATTTTTTTAAATTAATGATATTAATATAAATATTGATAGTTAATATGTATTATAATATTTAAAATATTTTTAAAAAAATTTGTAGTTAATTAAAAATTAATTTTTTAAAAACTTAAAATTTTTAAATAGATAATTATTATAAAAATTAAAATATAGTATTTTTTTAATAAAATATTAATATATTAACATTATTTATGTATTTAAATTTTTTAAGAATTAAAAAATTATTTTAATAAAACATAATGTATTAATTTTGTCAGCGGCTGACGTGTCTAAGTACTTACCAGAGTCCGCTGCGTGGCGGACACGCAGGTGTACCGTCAGCGCGGAAGCCACGCAAGCAGAGGAGGTATGCAGAACGGACGGTCCAGATGAAAGTGAGGGGTAAATGACTCAAATACCCTTCATTGAATCGTAGAGCGAACGGTCAGAAATCAGTCCCTAAATCTAACGGTCAACAATTCATCGCACTAATTATATATACACCCTGTATTCGTCGATTCGAACCCTGAAGAGAGAAGGGAAGGGGAGAGGGAGAGAGAGGTTCGATCGGGTCAGACAGGAAGGGAGCCGCGGCCAGTAGAAGAAAAAAAGGGGTGTGGCGGTGCAGACAGGCAGTCGAGGAAGCCCTATTACGTGTGTGTGGCCATGTGCCCGCCGCCGCTGGTGAGCTGGAGCCAAGAGATCGTAGCGGGTGGTCAAAACCCGAACCTTATCTCGGGTCACGGGAATCCGATCTACACTTATGAGGCAGTTTCCTTTCATTCCTTTACAGATGTGTGAATTATTTGATTTTAATACTCAGTTTGGTGCGTGCATGATTCTAATTTCTGTCTTTAAATTTCGAATGCGTCGGTTGAATTTGGTATGTTCATTTGTCTGCAATTTCTTTGTGCTTGTTGATTAGTTGTTAAGGATGGAACGGAGAGATTGAGGCAATGATATGTAGGAAGAAATGCATAAACCCGCTAAATGGATTTAAAAATGTATGAACATATATCTGCCTATATGTGTATATGTAATCTGAATGTGAGTATGTATGTGTAGTGCATATATATTACTGGGTATGAGGAAACATGATTGTAAGTGTTTATATTTGATTATATAATTATATATAAGTTGAAGATGCATTCTAGGTGAAATCTGTAAAAGAACATAATGTATATGTGCATGTGGGTATAAAAACAGAAGAAGATAAATGTAACTGCGAAAATGTGTGGATAAACAGATCAGTAGGTATATATGTACACGATAATGTGTATGAGTTTCTAAGGATTAGGCATGTTGAGTTTTAGTTTAAACAGAAGATAGACTTTAGGAATTAGGATTCTTGAGAATGGTTTGCATGAAGATGAAAACGAGAAAGACTTGATTAAGGTTCTGGAGAGATGCAGTTAGCTAACTGGAACCAATTTTCTGTTTTGACTAAAACTCCAGATGTTTTGTTCTGTCATAAACTCCCTTGGAAAATACTTGGTCTTCGATTTGGTTCTTTCAGAAGCTCAGATTTCCTTGTAATCAGATATATCCAACTTGCATGTATCGCTGCCACTGAGTCCTGCTTTTCAACATTGATAAGACGCAAATATGGAAGATCCAGCTTTTTCGAGGAGTCTGTCTTGTGGTTTTGTTCTGGCTCAGTTAATTTCCAGGAAATTTTTGCATTTATACTTTTAGTTTTAAGCAGAAGACTGTTAATATGCATTGGGATTCTAGAAAAAGTGTTACTTAAATACAGTTTGACTGTTTCTTGTGTTTATAGTTTTTGTTTAAAACGAAAGTTGGCTCCTTAAATCAAGAATCTCGAAAAAATTTAACTCGCTGGAAAAAGCAAGAACAACTTGATCAAGGCTTTGAAGAAATCCATATAACTAATATGAGCTAGTTTTCCTTTGAAACTAAGACTTAAGATGTGAGAATTCTTGGAAACTCAAGAGTGGAATTTTTTGAGTTTCTCCACATCTCATGAAAAGTATTTCGTTCTCCTTCATACAATTCCCTGTAAATATTGTCTGATTTGGTCGTTTTTAGAAACTCAAATTTTTTGATAGCCAGATACAACTCACAGTTGAAGTGATATTCGATCTTTTTAGATATCGATAAGATGCATATATGTGAAGGTTGAGTTCTTTGAGGAGTTGTCTTGTGCGTTCTGTTTTGGCTCAATTCATTTCAAAGAAAACATGTGTCTTTGAACTTTTGTTTGAACTAATGACTGTCTCCTTGCATTGAGTTTCTTGAAAAAGTTTTACTTAATGATAAAAACCATAAGGAGTTGTACGTTCATGTTTAGCTCAATCTTTTTCCAAGAACTACTGTTGCATTTTGAGTTTTAGTTTAAAATGGATTCTTAATCCTTGAATCTGGATTTTCGAGAAAGTTTTACTTGATGATAAGATGCATATATGAAAGGTCGAGTTCTTTCAAGGAGTCAACCTTGTGGGTTATGTTTTGGCTTAATTTCTTTTCAAGAAATGTTGTGTCTTGAGTTTTTGTTTAAGCCATAGACTTTATTTTTCCATCGGGTTTCTTGAGGAAATTTGATTTAACGATAAAAACTAGAA